ATTTGAATAGCTCACCTGTATGATCGATTTCAATAGATCACCTGTATGATTGATTTGAATAGCTCACCTGTATGATCGATTTCAATAGCTCACCTGTATAATTAATTAACTCACCTGTATAAGCCAGAGCACGTCGCTCTCGCTCAGCGTCTCCTGCTGGTACTCGCTGAGGAACGTCTGGAAGTCCTTGGCCGACATCGTGACGCCCTTCGACGTTTCCACGCCCGCGCAGTTGGCGACGATGCTGGCGACGGCGATCGCGTCGCAAACCTTGTTCCGCTGTCCGTTCTCGATCAGGTCCTCGGGCATGTTTCGCGTTATCAGACCTGGGAACGAGGATGGGTTTTAGCAGACGATGGCACGCAGCGTTACCTCCTCCGCTCGCCCGCCATCACGGCAAGCAGTGACTAGGAATGCAAATATAATCCGTCACTACCCCGTTGCTACCCGAAAAAATTCGCAATATAAAGAAAAAACCAATTTGTATATTAGAGCCAGTTAGGTCAATAAAATACTGCGCTGCCAGTTTATTCGCCTGGTCGTGTGATCATGAAAGAAATTACCGCAGCAATGGAATCAGATATGCCATAGTAAAGCTGCATGAGAAAATAATGAAAACGAGAATGAAAGTAAACGTCTAATAAAGAGTCAAATAATGAGAAAAAAGTAATACCCAAAAAGCGAGTTGACAACCTTATACACCGCTGAAGTCAGCGACCTAGATTATATCTAGGGTTGAATAAACCACAGTTTTAGCAGAAGAGTTCCGCATGTAGGCCAAACGGCAGTGGAACGATGTATATATGTAGGCCTACTGCGATAATTGTACCGTAATTAAACAAAACACAATTATAATTAGGTCATTCATGAAATTCATGAATGAACCACGCACACGCCCACGCACGCAAACACGAACACCACCCCACGACACCACCACATTAGCTGAGGCTCAAAGCTCATCAACCAATGCACGCATAACCACGAGCGAGATTATTAGCTCACACTGCTCCGGAGCAACATTAAATTGAGCGAGACGTTATGTCAGACGTGAAATATCTGACGCACACATGCCGAGTTGTTAGTTATTTTGTTAGTGCATCACGGCTGAGGGCAGGAGAGCAAAGATGGCGGAAGATCCCACAATACGTCGCAGCGTATTGACGTATAGTACAACCCCCCACCACGCCATCAGCAGTACGATAATCACTTATTATTGTCACTAACTAGCTTCCTGAAACTATCGCGCGGTCTTTTGAGTCGAATAAACATATCTACATTTGACCACTTGACGTTGACCGCCTTGCGTTGTGCATTAGCATGGTATAGCTTGCTTGCCACCGGAGTATTACTCACGCTACAGATGCGTGAATGAAATAAACAAGGAAACACTCTATAAGACTACAAACTAAAATGACTACACATACAATCGCCAGTACACATGCTATCGGGAGCGTTTAATATAGACCTCTATAATATTTTACACTCTACTACTGTATATTAGACTATAATATATATTAGATCTCTACATTATACACTCTACTACTATATATTATACTATAATATACACATCATATTAGATCTCTATATTATACACTCCTGGTGCTATATATAGAATCGATGATCAGCTGCACTTGCGATTCGTAATTATTGTTCTAATAGTCGCGGTGATCGATTCTTACGAAATTCGGCATCGCCACGCATCTGTTGATCATTAGCCCGGCCACGTTAACTAATGAAAATCGAGTCATGCATAACTATTGCTTAATTAGCTATATGTTAATTTTCTTATTGCTTAATTGCTTAATTAATATCGATTGCTTAATTAGCTATAGCTTACTGTCGATCACGATACTGCAACGGGGTACCGTCGATAGAATATATATTCATAAACGTCGATTTGTGGCTGGTAGGAAATCGTACAGATTTACGTGATGTAGGCTATTAGTTTCAAGCGTTGATAGTCGTTAGCGTCGGCAATGTAAAGAAATGCTCGCCCACAAGCGTAAGAATAAGTTTGGGGTTTATTATTATTATGTAGCGAGGACACACAAGCGGTACACAACGCACGAACGCACCAGCCCCTCTGCATACGTGCACACGTACACGGATTGAATGAATACACACGGCACACACGCGCAGGCACGCGCACGCCCACGAACACATACGCACACGCACACGCGCGCGCAACCGCGTGTACAAATGGTTCTAGAGCCACACGCCAATAATTGCCACGCAAACGCACATGGCACGCACGCACGCATGCACTAACCCATGACCATTTGACTAATTTCTAGTCTAGATTAAGAAAAAAATCTTAAATTAAGGGCTTACCACTGTTCACGCCGTAATAACACAAACAACGGACGATAAAACGTAAAAAGTCACACCGCAATACACACATAGATTACCAATGGATTTACAGTTGCTAAATCGAATTCGACAATTGCTATATCATTAAACTGTTAATAGAACGCGGCAATACCAACAGCAATTTCGGATAAACCGTGGTGGATGTGGATATTTGCAGTTAGGACTTGGCAAAGTGACCAGGCGCATATCAATGCGTTTATTGCTGTCGATAGCCTGGCACTCTCTTAATCTCATCTGAATATACCTAGTTACTGTCTCGGCCTTACTGCTCGTTGCTACTGATTGGTGGTTGATGGGTGGTGGATTGATGATTCGACGCGGCGGTGCAATTTTAGCTAAATATAGCTATATATATATAAACTAGAATTAAACAGTACCTGACTGTAAAGCTCGACCGAGGATTCCCCCTTCAGCTGGTGTCCCGTCAGGTACGTGTTGTGCGACGACGCGATGTAGTAGTGCGACAGCGGCTTGTTCATGTCGTCCCTGTAGCGCTTGTCTCGCACGAACGCATAGTTCTCCTTGTCCATCAGATAGCGCGCGAAACCCTCGAACGAGAGCCGTCCCTGCTCGCGATTCGACGCCTTCAGCTCGTGTCTCTGCGGAGGTGCGAAATCATCGTGAAAATCCCCACGAAGAAGAAAAAACAAAAACAACTGTAACTGTAAACCGTGAACGTCATCGCCCCCTGTTAGAATTGCTATGGCGCAGCGCAGCGGATTAGCAAACCTTCGCAGCAGCTGCCACCGCGACGAGGGACACGCGCTTTATTTTCGAGAACCCTTGGGTGGGGATAAAAAATATTGCGGATTATCAAGGGCAGAGATTAATGGGGGAGTCAGTGATTTGAATAGATAAACGGAGGAGGATTAGGGGGTGGGGATAAAAATATTGCGGATTATCGAGTGCAGAGATTAATGGGGGAGTCGGTAACTTGAATAGATAAACGGAGGAGGATCAGTGTGGGAGGTAAAAATATTGCGGATTATCGAGTGCAGAGATTAATGGGGGAGCCGGTAACCTGAATAGATAAACGGAGGGAGGTGGGGAGATTAAATTAGCTCACCTGTATGATTGATTTGAATAGCTCACCTGTATGATCGATTTCAATAGCTCACCTGTATGATTAATTTCACGGTATCTAAACAGATTTCGGTATTTTGATGTAAATACGCGGCTTCCAGACCCCGAATAATTTGCGTGCTTGGAGAAATACCGCGAATCTCTCTGGACCGCGCGCATTTCCTCGTGTAATTGATAAATAGCCGGATTTCTCAAGCCGCGTATTTATAGACTGGTCGCGCCCGAACCAGTGTTCCAGTTTAACGCGAGTGGAACTGTCGAGCGCGGACCAGTCTACGTATTCTTAACGGGCCAGTTGCGTCGCATTGCATTGTTTAATTCGCATTGTTCGCCTTGATTGTTTAAAGCAGCTCGCAGCTCGCAGAATACGTATTTCTGGCTAGCGCGAATCAGCGTGCTGGAACGCTCGGCCGCCGTATTTGTCTCAGATTCGGTATTTCGCAAATACCGTTATTTCATAATAGAGGTCTCGGTGTGAACGTGAACTCGTCGTGTAAAATTTTGGCACGTTGCGAATGAGCGGAGAGCGCAGGCGACAAGCTGGTAGCAGTGCACAGGTGGTACGCGTGTCGAACGACTGACTAGAGTAAATGGTCAATTAGAAAGCGGAAGCAGGATACGTGAACGCGACATCATAAGATGCGGCCCTCGCAGACGGGGGTTGCAGCAACGGGAACCTGCGGAGAACCAAGACGGTGACAAGATAATTGCCCGCGATGGCGGGCACAGCGAATCGCATGGGGTATATAAGGCGAGCGGCACTCGAGGCACGGAACTCGACTCTCTCTCTCTTCCTGGCTTCACCTTAATTGTCACGTTGCATTTCGTACGCTACGTCTTTGTACGTTGTACTTCATGCGCTATCTAATCACAGTCGCTGTGGTACGTTACTACGCTAGTTCGTGTTTGCTTCATGTCTTGCCCATCTTATACCCTGTTTGTTTTCTTAGCCGCTGCCCACCTCAGCCTAAGTAACCGAGATACGAGGTTACATTGTCATTACACACACGTAATTGATACCACGCACGCACTGCGCGCACAACCACACACACACACACACGCCACCGCCCCAGCGCCCCCCACACGAAACGCACGCACGCACCTGCGCACACGTACACACACACACACACACACACACACACAACACAACACCTATATATATATATATATTATATATATATATATATATATTATATATATTATTATATTTATAAGCTTATTTAGCTACAATTGCACCGCCCGCGTCGTCGAATCATTCAATCCAGCCACCCATCAGTTAGCCAACAGCAGGAAGGCCGAGACAGTACACTTTAGTATATTCAGATGAGATTAAGAGAGTGCCCAGGCTATCGACGCAATAAACGCATTGATTATAGCGCCTGGTCACTTTGCCAATTCGTCCTAACTGCAAATATCCACACCACCACGCGTTTATCCGAAATTGGCTCTTTCGGTATTGCGCGTTCTATGTAACAGTTAATGATACAGCAATTGTCGAATTCGATTTGCAACGGTAAATCATTGGTAATCTATGGTGTATTGCCGCGGTGTGAATTTTTACGTTTTATCGTTCGGTTGTTTGTGTCATTACGGCGTGAACAGTGGTAAGCTTAATTTAAGAATCTTTTTATTAATCTAGACCTAGAGATGTTAGTCAATATGGTCATGGTTTAGCTGATTCGCAGTGCGTCTGCGTGCTGTGCGTTGCGTGGCAATTATTGGCGTGTGGTCTAGACCATTTGTACACGCGATTACCCGCGCGCGTGTGCGTGTGGTACTGTGTTCGTGTGGCGTGTGCGTGCTGGCGCGTGCGTGCCGTGTGTATTCATTCAATCCGTGATGTGTGCACGTTTGCGAGGGGTCTGGTGCGTTTCAGCCTTGGCTCGCCCCCACATTCCTCGTGCACCGGGGCTGGACCCTTATCGTCTCTCGCGTGCGGTCCTGTACACACGTAGGCCGATTGTTGTGTCCCGCTTGGTGTCCTCAGCTTACAACCCCAAACTTATTCATTACGCTTAGTGGGGAGCATTCCTATTACATTACCGACGCCTAAACGACTAATCAACGCCTTGAAACTAATAGCCTACATCAAACACGTAATATCTGTACGATTTCTACAGCCACAAATCGACGTTTAATGAATATATTATTCTATCGACAGGTACCCCGTTGCAAGTTTCGCCTGATCGTCAGCAATTAAGCCAAATAAGAAAAACAATTAAACATATAGCTATTAAAGCAATAGTATTGCATGACTCAAAGATTTTCATTAGTTAAAAACGTGGACCGGGCTAAAATAAGAACTCAACACGATGCGTGGCGATGACGAAATTACGTAAGAAATCGATCACGGCGACTATTGAACAATATTAACGATCAGCAGTGCAGACTGATCATCGATTTCTATAATAGCACCAGAGTGTATAAATATAGAGCAATATCTAATATGATGTGTATATTTTATAGAATATTAATATATAGTAGTAAGGAGTGTAATAATGTAGAAGATTCTAATAATTATTTATAGATCTAAATATACAGTTAGATAGAGTGTAAAATATATACTAGAGGTCAAATATTAAACACGCTCCCGTAGCATGTGCTACTGCGATATGTATGTGTAGGTAATTTTGTTTTGTTAGTCTTATAGCGTGGTTTCCTTGTTATTTCATTCACGCATTACTGATAGCGTGAGTAATTAACTCCCGGTGGCAAAGCAAGCTAATACCATAGCTAAAATGGCACAACGCAAGGCGGATCAACGTTCAAGTGGGTCAATGTAGATCATGTTTATTTCGGATCAAAAGACAACCGCGCGATAGTTATCAGTAAGCTTAAGTTAGTGGACAATCAATTATGTGATTAATCGCCACCCCCCCCCTATGATGATGGGCGTCCGCGGCGGGGTAATGTACTATACGTCAATGACGCTGCGACGTATTGTGTGAGATACTTCGCCATCTATTGCTCTCCTGACCTCAGCCGTCGATGCACTAACAAGAGGTAACTTAACAACTCGGATGTGTGCGTTCAGATGCTTTCTTTAACGTCTGACATTATTCTGCTGCCAATTTAATGTTGCTCCGCAGGCCAGAGTGAGCTAAATAATCTCGCTCGGTGGATTCATTGAGTGAATTGGTTGGATGAGCTTTGAGCTCAGCTAATTGTGGTGGTGTCGTGGTGGTGGTAGTTCGTGTTTGACCGTGCCGTGGGCTGTGGTGCGATGGTTTATTCATGAATCTTACATGAATGACTAATTTAGATTGTGATTTTAGTCTTAATTATCGATACAATTATATCGCAGTAATTGTGCCTACCATATATACATCGTTCCACTGCCAGTTTGGCTAACTATGACGGAAACTTTCTGCTAAAACTGTAGGTTTATTCAACCCATAGATATAATCCTAGGTCGACTGGCTTCAGTGGATGTATAAGGTTGTCAGCTCGCTTATTGGATATTACATTTCTTTTTCATTAGACGTATTACTTTCATCTCGTTTCAATTATTTTTCTCATGCAGCCTTTACATTGCTGTTGATATAATCTGGTTCCATTGGGCTTGCGGCTAATATTCATTTCATGATCACACGACCAGGCGAATAAACTGGCACCCAGAATATTTTATATGACCATAACTGTTCTAATATACAAATGGTTTTCTTCTTTAAAATTGCGGATTTTATCGGGTAGCAGCGCAAAAACGTTACTGACGGATTATTTTATGCATTCCTAGATCCTAGTCACGCTTGCCTTGGAATGGCGGACGCGAGGCGCGGGAGGTACAAACTTGCACGCTGATGTGCAAATCGTCTGCTAAACCCATTCCTCGTTCACAGGAGATCTCCGCCATCAACGCGACCAAACAATGCCGAGACCTGACTCGAGGAACGGAACAGCGAACAAGGTCTTCGCGATGCGATCGCGTCGCCAGCAATCGATCGCCAACTGCGCCCTGGGGCGGTGGAACGTCAGAAGAGGCGTCACGATGTCCGGCCAAGGACTTCCAGACGTTCCATCAGCGCAGTATCAGAGGAGACGCTGAGCCTGGGAGAAATAAACGACGTGCTGATCTGGTTATACAGAGTGAATTTATGTAAATCTATAAGGACAGAATCATCATACAGTGTATGCAGCTATTGAATCATCTACAGGTGAGCTTCAATCTCCCACTCCGTACCCGATC